AAGGGATCACTCCGTAATTTTCTTTTTTCGGAAAGTGATGAATAAATATTGTCAGATGGAGACAACTGTTATTTGACCTTCCCCAGTAGAGACCTTTAAGGGAGAAATAAAGTGGAAAGGGATCTAGAAGATCACTGGTGAGACAAAAGGTGTTAAAAACACCAAAGCACACTTGAATTCCATTACCTTTTTCCAGTCTTCCCACATTCTACTCCACCCCTGGCTCTGAGTGAAGAACAACTCATAAGACAAAATGATACATTATCTAGAGATAAACTTACAAACTGACGGAAGAAAATTGTCCCAGAGGCTACGTTACCTCTTCAAGTTTATTACAGTGTCTTTAGTTCTTATTGCATATATTGTTACATGCCTTTTACAAGTCAGGATTATGTATATAGTATGCTCAGTTTAGCAGAAGTTATGTCTATTGCTTCTCTCTTGAAAATCAGCAGCATGCAGTGGAACATTTGGTGCGCAGAGCTTTGTTTCAAAAAGTGAAAAACGACTTAGGTTTAACTGAAGAGGGAACATGATCTTTATTGGCGTATATGCGAAGTTTAATTTTGGTTTTATGCAGAGTTTGCATAGTTCATGATTATTTTCTAATGAAAAAAACTAGATGTGTTGTCAGTGACCTTGAAGGAGATCAGGTGACAGTAGCAAACAGAAAAATTTGAAGAAGAGGCATAACTTTTAAGGTAGAAAGGTCAGCAAGAACTGCCTGGAACAAAAAAAAACAAAACAAAAAGAATTGTTAATGTCAGTATTCTAACTGGCAAAAGGAAGCCTATGAAATACAGCACAACAGAAACACCACTGCCATGCAATTCTGGCTTTGACACACTTTCTGAGTTCTTCACATTCGTCCTAAAAACCTGTCCTGAAGCTACGACCTCCCTTCGCTTTTCTCAATATCTTAATGTTAGAACATGTGCAAAACGCTAAAACGTGCAGTAGAAAATAACCTGGACTTTTGCCTTGAGCCTTCTTCAAATATACAAGGTAGCATGAGTTTATAAGAGGTCTAATATTTCAACTTGCTTCTATAAATAAACGTACATTATGAATCTTGGTCCTGTTATACTAGTATAAGGAGTATCTGGCTTTAGGAAATCGTTTTTGAGACGGAACTAATGTTTATTCAGTTGCAAGACGCATAAACATCCTTTTCCCTTTAAGCAAAGAATGTCGGCAGCTATTTTAAGGGTATCATTTAAATTTCTATGAGAAAAAACAAATAGAGTAATATGGTAAGCCGCTATTTAATTGAACTGTGTGTCAGGTATAAATTATACCATTGAAAAGAAACATTAAAACATTAACTCATTATTTTAAATGACCAAAAAAAAAAAAAGCGCCTACGTATCTTTACTGTATCATCCAAACGCATGCTCTTTAACTCTCCTGACTAGATTTTCTTTGTTCTAGCAGAACATGTGGACGTGTGCAATAAGAAAATGCAACTTGGGCTCCAATAGTTTCTACTACAACTACTGGGTGTCTGGTTTCCCGTAACAGTTATAATGGTTTCCTATATAATCTTGTGTGTGACTCCTTCACAAGAAGATTGTTCTCAACTAATTAAGGAATCTTGAATACTTAATATTCCTTAGCTCGAAACTTATAGGCTTTACCCAAGTGAAGAAATGAGGCTATGAGTAATGTGTGTCCTATGCATCTGAGACTGAAGTGCCCAAGCCTGGCACTCTCTCAGGAACTATTTCCATCCTGTCCCAGTGAAACTTATCCTTACTTCAGCTGCAGCCAGTGATGTCACCTCCATCAGGTTCACTGCTCGGAAAGCAAACACAGCAGCTGCCAGGACTGGAAAAGAATGCACACTATTTCAACTGCTGACCTACTCATCAGCCCGACAAATTTACTGCTATGCCCACAACCCCCTAGGAGAGCCCAGAACTGATGCTTTACGTGACTTGCACGCATGCATTGCAGTTTAGGTCCTGCGACGAAGGGAAATGATCTCCTCTGGAGAACAGAGTGCCCGGCGGATAGATAAACTGAATCCCATAGTTTGGGGAAAAAGGAAAATTCAGTGGTCTTAAAAGAGCCGTTTTTAGAAATGATTTCTTTCATGCCTGTAACTTAAATTACAAGTTTTTAAATGGCACGGAGATCTAATGATTACTTACAATTAAAGGTTTATTTGACGCAGGTGTTTTTTACTAACGCAACAGGATTCTGAAAAGTTATATGGAGACTGTATTTTCAAGTTTATCAGATCACGTTTCATATGTCTCAAGAGGTCCCGATAGAAATGTGGCAATAAAGCATTTTCTTAAAAAAATATTTTTATAATATTTTGTTATACTTTTATACTCAGCATTGACTTTCTTAGAGTGTCGTAAGTGGATAGGTATGTGGGGAGAGCTGCTGTGGACTGATCCTGAAATTTACATTAACGTTGGCTATAGGAAAAAGAAGTTGAAACTTTAAAAAAAAAATTATAGGACACCTTGAAGGTCAATAATGTACATGGAGTGGAAAGCAACGTTTGCATACGTTACATATGCCTATGAAAAGAAAGTAATGCTAACGTGTAATCTTTCTTCTTACATAATCTGTCACAAAGCCCCACATGTGGCAGTGCATCATCATGGCCAGCAAAAGGACCCATGTGAGAGGTGGGTGCCCTGACAAGGTGCTGACAAGCCTAAGGATGGCTCTTGACTTCTCCCCCCTTTTTTCTCTTCCATCACCAGTGGTGGTAGTTTATTCTCTACCCCACAAGTCCTTGAAATTTAGGAAATAAATGGTAAGAAATCTTCAAAATTATTTGAAAGACTGGCTCCTGAGTTTCTGGCAGAGCTAATCCAAATAGATAGTTTTTTAAAATACATTTTTACTGTGGGAATCACAACATGCTACTGATAGTTCTCATACCAACTCTGAGTTAAGAACCATTGCTAGCCCTATTGCATTAAGGTGGAAACTGGGGCCCAGTGAATTTGGATGACATGTTCAAAGCCACACAGGTAGAAAACAGTGGAGTGAGAACTTAACCCTGGCTCTGGAGCCTAAGCATCTAACCACTCTTAGCACTTAGACTGAAGGTAAGTAGTAATGAGTCTTCCCTGACATGAAAATCTGGGTGCTTTCCTATGAGTCCTCTCTGCTGCCCTTCGGAATGGTTTTCCAGAGATGGCCTGAAGGATGATGCTATGATGATCCTGGGAGTAGACGTCAACATCCAGACCTCTTAATTTTCCCAGAGAGAGGCACAGAGCAACCAGACCAGACTGGGAAACACAGGCATTTTTTAGGGTACAATAGATTTTGGACAGTCTGGCAAAAAAAAAAGCATTCCAACCAGTTAGCCCGGAAAATTCCGGGGGCGCGCGGGGGGTGGGGGGAAGATGGTAGTGGTAAAACAAAACTTAAAAAAGCCAAATCAGATGGGATTATTTAATTTGTAACAAGGGATGCAAGAGATCAGGGACAAAGACTTTTACCTTTTAATTGAAAAGGAGAAAACTTAAGTACTTTAGCGTCACTGAGTGTCTATGTTTATAAGAGTATCAAAGAAAATAATTTCTTTCGACCAGCAACTTCTCTATAGTTTTCCTAATATCTAGAATCATTTTGACAATGGAGACATTTGAGAAGCTAAGGAGTATGATGGCTACTTCCTTTTTTGTGTATAATTTAACAGAGTTGGTGAAGGCTTGACAGGATGGCCAAACTTTCTGCTGTAGCAGGAAAGAGTTTTACATGGCGGGAAATTGTTTTTCCAAAGGTAGATAAGAGGGGGGAAAAAAGATCAGGCCACTAATTGACCTCAGCATCCAAGTGCTTATGTGCTCATAACCTTTATTTATCTTGGTGTCACATCACAGAAGTTCCTTTGCGTCTGCCTCATGTTTGATTTGCCCAGCCTTTCCGCAGAACACTTCTGTTTGCCAAGGAGAAAAGCTCTCCACTTTGGGATATTTTCAACTGCAACCATGCTTCACATGAAGTAGAGAGACTCTAACATTTACTTTTGGCCGTTTAAGCTATGCTCGTTAATTCTAAGCAACTCTATCACAAACATTCAGGCACCTTTGCTTTAAACTGTTCCTCAAAAGACCCTCATGAATTCATAATTAATTTTTAGTAATACTTACTAAATTAGTAATATTTACTAAAACCTTCTAAAGGCTATATAATAACTAACTTGGGCAAAAAAGGTGGTCCCAAAATATTCATCCCCCCAAATGTCTGAAATAATAACAATGAGTTTGGGTACCCCTACATGAAATTATTCATCCTCTGGCTCTTGATCTGAATTCATGGGAGGGGAGTCTAGTTCCATTTCTACATGTTCTGTAATTCTTCCCTGCTGATTTTTTAAAAACCGTTCAGGGAAAGTAGGAAACCGGTGCAGAGTGCATTTCTACCTGTTCATCAGTAACGTTTTTATTTTTTTTTAAAACATTTTTTTTTTCAACGTTTATTTATTTTTGGGACAGAGAGAGACAGAGCATGAACGGGGGAGGGGCAGAGAGAGAGGGAGACACAGAATCGGAAACAGGCTCCAGGCTCTGAGCCATCAGCCCAGAGCCCGACGCCGGGCTCGAACTCACGGACCGCGAGATGGTGACCTGGCTGAAGTCGGACGCTTAACCGACTGCGCCACCCAGGCGCCCCAGTAACGTTTTTATTAATGTTCTGAGCTCCAGCAGGGTGCCTAGCTTCGAGGAAATGCGTTAGTCAACATTCATTTATTTCTCTTTCACATAAGTTTGCTGAGGGGTGATAAGTCCCAGAATGAGAACATTTAAATTGTTAGAGGGCTTAAAGGTCTTTCAATTCCACATTTCTTTCACAGTAGAAAACCTCTTAACCTTCAGGTGACCATTAAAAAGCCCATTCTAGTTTTGAAAAATCCTAATTATTAGAAAGTACTTTCTTATACTGAGCCCCCTTTCTTTAACATGCTCTAATATTTTGAAATGATAAACAACAACAACAGCAACTAAACACAACACTCTTCAAAATTTATGATACACCCAGAGGAGATTTATTTGCTGGAAAGTCTACAATCCTGTTGCCTGAGAAACAGTAGCAGAAAACAAGGCTTCTTAGCCTGGAAAGTAGAAGGCTCTGGGGAAAGGCAAGGGTAGAAAAAACATGATGATAACCCTGGCTTAACAGGAGTACATTTTAGCAAGTCATGTCATCCAGAAGTGAGATGGGCTAACTCGTCAGACAAGGACAACCCAACACTGAAGTGTTTAAGCAGAGGGTGAGGACCGCCTGTCAGAAACGTCTAAAAGAATCATACCTGATGCCCTCTAGGATTCCTCTCCCTGTAGATTCTATGCATCACTGCCATTCAGCCAAGACAGCTGAGGGCAGACCCTTCTTTCCTCACGCCTATCTGTATGGGCTCAAAATCCAATTGAGACAGAAGGATACTGGGAGTTGTTAGCAGCACCATTAAGTGGTGTCTCTGATTACACCAAGGGTGATGTTTTTCTTCAAGAAACTTTATTATTACTCTAATTTTGCTTTTTGAATTAACATACTATTATTCTTGACCTCTCAGCATTCAAGAATATGTTAATATGGTACCTAAAGAATCTTCTATGAGAAAAGGGACTTCTTCAATGAAGCATTGTTTCCACAATTACCCAGAGTGGGATCTTGATAATGCTATCAATATAAGGTAAGGAAATGAAGACTCACACAGGTTAGATAATTTATTCAATATAGACAACTGGAGAAGCTTGGACCCAGCACTCTGCCAGCTTTTCTGCTCTCCATCCATTGTTGTGAAAACCTTGGGCTATTTATTTGAATTTCCTAATAATCCCAATGATTAAAATAACTGAGATTATTTTGTATAAGATAAGCAAAATAATATAATTAACAAGAAATCTGTGCCCTATGAATTATCATACAGTTGTCTTGTATCTCTATTATAAGACCCGCTTAATTATAATAAGAGATCAATCTGTGGCTTCCTGAAAAAAACAGATGAAATCTTTTTTGGCTGAAGAAAATACCTAAAAGGGGAAACTCAACCACCAGGAGTCAGAGGGTGTTAGCGAAAAGGAAAAGGTTTTGCATTCAAGTCCAGAACTCAAACTCAAGTCCAGAAGAGCTGAGATTTCAACTTCGCAGGGAGGCTCCGTGTCAGCTTAGATTTTAGGCCGTGGTTGAGAAGGGGCTCGGAACACGTGCGAAGGTAGAGAAGCCAGGAGTAGGACTGACGTATCCCTACGCTCTACTGTGCTGACTTCACAGCAGCTGACAGTAAGCCCTGGCTAAACGAAAAGCAGGGGAGGAGAAATGGACTTTCCTCGGAGCAAAGAAAAAAGACTCGGGATACACTAGTATTGGGAAGTTACACGGAAGTATCTAGATCTCAGAACTTCAGTACTTGTCTTCTAAGGCAGGTAAATCTATTAAATGTTTAGGAATTAGAAATGACAGACACCTATAGACTCAAACTGCAATTACAGATGGTGAATGTCAGAAAGTAAAGGGGCTTGGGGCGCCTGGGTGGCTCAGTCGGTTGAGCATCCGACTTCGGCTCAGGTCATGATCTCGCGTTCCGTGAGTTCGAGCCCCGCGTCGGGCTCTGTGCTGACAGCTCAGAGCCTGGAGCCTGTTTCAGTTTCTGTGTCTCCCTCTCTCTGACCCTCCCCTGTTCATGCTCTGTCTCTCCCTGTCTCAAAAAAAAAAAAAAAAAAAGAAAGTAAAGGGGCTTTATTATAGAAACAGCATGTGTTTTACAAACAAGCACTTATTACCAGCAAGAATTTCCAGAGAGTTGTATCCTAGGATTCTATCCCACAAAAGCAGGAGTTGATCTGTAGCTAAATATCCAGAGAAAGCTCGAACCATCCATTTAAAGGATATGCGTAGCCTGTAGGCAAAGAAAAAAGAAAATAAATTTTACCAGTGAATGTTTTTTTCTTACAATGTCAGAAGAGCCAACCAATTCCACGGTTAAGTTAACTTCTTTGTGAGTCTTAGAAATCACCTCAGCATTTAAATCTCAAGCACTCTCTTAAAAGCTGCAAAACTGCAATGGTGAGAAGCCATGAGTCTTCAAATTAGTGGTCTCAACATATCAAGAGGGAAAATGTATATCTGCTATGTTACAGTTCAGCCTTTAGAAAACTCACTTCTATGTGCTATTTTTCAGGGTCTTTACTAATTAGTTATCAATGATGTGATCTTACTAGTCAACAGTACTTAACAGTTTGAATCATTTGAATCATGATTATTTGAATTTTTATTCAAAATACTGGAAAAATGCTTGGCAGCTGCATACTTTTCCAATTCAATAAGTTGTATTCCTACATTTCAGTCAAAAGGCTACATAGGATGAATAAAATAAAACAAGAAGTAGGAGTCTTTGAAGGCAAATAGTTGTGAAGTTATAAGGGACCTTAGAAATAGATTTCTGATTTCAAACCCTTCATTTTAAAGGGGAACAACCGGAGAATTCAATTGACTGACCAAAAAAAAAAAAAAAAAAAATCCTAAGAGATACAAGATCCCACAATTTATAAGTAGGTTATGTTACAATAATAATTTATCTCTGAAATCAGGAAATGAACTCATTAGCTTTGGTGCTTTAAGAGACAAACTATTCCCTCACATTTCTGTACTATCTATTCTTACCATCACTTAACTGCTCCTGAGAAGTGTTAGCCAAACTCTTTGCTGGAGCTGTTACAATATTATATAGATAAATATCTGTGCTACTTTCTTAAAGCAAGAGAAAGGAATCTAAAGATTGCCTTTCTTGATGTATTAATTCTCTTAAGACCAAAAAGACCCCCAAGTTTTCAGAAATTCCTCAATACTAGATAACTATTATTCTAATATACCAAGGTACACAAAGGGAGTAGCATTGACAAATCAAACTTTTTGGTTGGCTTTAAGAATATCTGCTTATGAATGCCATAGTAATTTTTGGCCACAAGATATTTTAAATTAAAAAAAGATCATTTGTCTTTTATGTCTAAATGATCGAGATCAACTAGTTTCATTTTATTGTATTTTTCAGTGTCTTAATAGAACAACAGCACCACACATTGTTCCCCCCCTCTATGTACAGCACAGAATTAGTTTATTATAAATAAAGTTCATTGAGGTATAATTTATGGATAGTAAAATTTACCCTTATTAGTGCACAGTTCTATGAGTTTTCCTAAGAACCAAATGGAAAGTTTAAAACTGAAAAATAACAAAAAACAGAAAACAACCCTCACTGGATAGACCCAACAGCAAAACGGTAATGACGGAGAAAAGAGCCAGTGATTTTGAATACAGACCAATAGAAAATGCCTAATCGGAACCATAGAGTAAAAATGATTGAAAATGAAGTGAATAGTTTCAGGGACCTTTGGGATAAGACCAAAAGTTTTAACATTTGTGTCACTGGAATTCTAGAAGAGAAGGAGAATAAATATGTTACAGAAAAAAGTACTGGAAGAAATAATGATTGAAAACGTCCTAAATTTGGCAAAAGATACAAGCTTAAAGATTCAAGAAGCTTAGCAAACCCCAAGCACAGACATCCATGCCCAGATACATCAGAATCAAGCTGCTGAGAAAAGATCTTGATAGTGGCTGATGAAAAAAACATTTTTCCCGAAATGTCTGGCAGAATTTACCAGTAAAGCCATCCATGCTGGAGTTTATTTGAAGGTAGAAGGTAATTAATTAAAAATGCATATTGTAGGGTATTGTAGGGGCTCCTGGGTGGCTCAGTCCGTTAAGCACCTGACTTTGGCTCAGGTCATGATCTCGGGGTCTGTGAGTTTGAGCCTCGCATCAGGCTTTTAGTGCAGAGCCCACTTCAGATCCTCTGTCCCCATCTCTCTCTGTCCCACCCCTGCTCGTACTCTTTCTCTTTCTCTCTCTCCCTCAAAAGTAAATAAACATTAAAACAAATTTTTTTGAGTGTATATTGTAAACCCCAGAGCACTCTTATGGACTGAATGGTTGTGTCCTCCCACCCGCCATGTATTTGTTGAAACTCTACCTCACAATGTGATGGCATTAGGAAAAAGGGGGAGCCCTAGGGTGGTAATTGGAAAAAGATGAAGCCCTCATGGTTGGGATTAGTGCCTTCATGAGAGTCGTGAGAGAGCCTGTTTCTCTTCTCTGCTCTCCACCACGTGGAGAATAAGTCCAATAAGAAGTCCATAGTCTGCAGCCTAGAAGAGGGTCCTCACTGGAACTCACTGAAGAAGAGGGTCCTCACTGAACCATGCTATCACCTTGATCTTGGACTTTTAGTTTTCAGAACTGTGGGAAATAAGTTTCTGTTATTTATGAGCCACACAGTCTATGGTAATTTGTTACAGCAGACTGAACTAAGACAGGTATCTATGAAAAAAGATGTTTTAAAAAAGGTATAAATAATAATCCCACAGTAGTGATAAAATGGAATAAAAAATACTCAATTAAGAGGGTTCCCATTTCTCCACATCCTCTCCAGCATCTATAGTCTCCTGATTTGTTCATTTTGGCCACTCTGACTGGCGTGAGAACCCTCTTGTACTGTTGGTGGGAATGCAAACTGGTGCAGCCACTCTGGAAAACAGTGTGGAGGTTCCTCAAAAAATTAAAAATAGACCTACCCTATGACCCAGCAGTAGCACTGCTAGGAATTTACCCAAGGGATACAGGAGTACTGATGCATAGGGGCACTTGTACCCCAATGTTTATAGCAGCACTGTCAACAATAGTCAAATTATGGAAAGAGCCTAAATGTCGATCAACTGATGAATGAATAAAGAAGTTGTGGTTTATATACACAATGGAGTACTACGTGGCAATGAGAAAAAATGAAATATGGCCTCTTGTAGCAACATGGATGGAACTGGAGAGTGTGATGCTAAGTGAAATAAGCCATACAGAGAAAGACAGATACCATATGGTTTCGCTCTTATGTGGATCCTGAGAAACTTAACAGAAACCCATGGGGGAGGGGAAGGGAAAAAAAAAAAAAAGAGGTTAGAGTGGGAGAGAGCCAAAGCATAAGAGACTCTTAAAAACTGAGAACAAACTGAGGGTTGATGGAGGGTGGGAGGGAGGGGGAGGGGAGGTGATGGGCATTGAAGAGGGCATCTTTTGGGATGAGCACTGGGCGTTGTATGGAAACCAATTTGACAATAAATTTCATATATTAAAACAAAAAAAGAGAAATATAATGAAAGCCACACATGTAAGTTAAAATTTTCTAACAACCACATTAAAAGAAGTAAAAAGAAATGGGTAGGGGCGTCTGGGTGGCTCAGTCGGTTAAACGGCCGACTTCGGCTCAGGTCATGATCTCGCGGTCCGTGAGTTCGAGCCCCGTGTCGGGCTCTGTGTTGACTGCTCAGAGCCTGGAGCCCGTTTCAGATTCTGTGTCTCCCTCTCTCTCTGCCCCTCCCCTGTTCATGCTCTGTCTCTCTCTGTCTCAAAAATAAATAAACGTTAATAAATGAATAAATAAATAAATAAAAGAAATGGGTAAATTAAATCTCAACAATATATTTATTTAATTTAGTATATCTCAAATATTATCATTTCAAAATGTAATAGATATTAAAAATTATTAATGCATTATTTAAAAAAATACTCAATTAAAAAGTATGCAGGAAAAAAGGAAAAAAGAATGAAAAAAGACAAATTGAAAATGTCTGCCGAGATAGCAGATGGTATCAATTGATATTACTATAATCTAATAATATCAAATTAAATGTAAGTGGAACAAACATACCAATTAAAAAGACAAATTGACACACTGGAAAACCCAGTTACACTTTTGACAAGAAAGCCATTTAAAAAATAAAGACATAGATAATCGATATGTTAAAAGTAAAAGGACAGAAAGAATACACCACACAAATTGTAATTGAAAGAAAGCTGCGACGGCCATATCAAATGTAGTAGACTTATTGCCAGGAATAAAGACATTGATAATGATATAGGGATCAGTTCTCCTAAAAACAGAGCCTCTAATACATGAAGTAAAATATGTGTACCAATGAAGGAAGAAATAGACATATTCACAATTATAATTGGAGACTAACATTTCTTTCTCAAAAATTAATAGAAAAAGTAGACAGAAAATTAGTAAGTTTATAGAAGGCTTGAACATTACCAAACACTTGACTTTGTTGACACTTATAGAATATTTTGCTGAACAACAGCAGATCGTGAATGCTTTTCAAATGTATTTGTAATATTCACCAAGACAGATCAAATTCTGGGCCACGTTACAAACTTCGATACGTTTTAAAAAACTGAAATTTTATGAAGCATGTTGTCTAACTGCAACAGAATTAAAATAGAAATCAATAACAGAAATTTTTAGAATATTTAGAAATTAAACAACTGTTTAGAAATTAAACAACATGCTTCTAATAAAACCCATGGTCAGAAAGAAGTGACAAGAGAAATTAAGAAACATTTTGAACTGAATGAAAATGAAAATACAACATATCAAAATTTGTTGTATGGAGGTAATGCAGTGCTTTGAAGGCAATTTATAACAATATTGCTTATATCAGAAAAGAAGAAAGGTCTCAAACTAATGATCTTTAACCTTAAACAAGAAGACAAGTGCAAAATAAGCCTAAAGCAAACATAAGGAAGGAAATTATAAGAGCATAAATCAATGAAATTTAAGACAGAAAAACAAGAGAGAAAATTAAAGAAAACAAAACATGTTTCTTTCAAAGAATAAAATTAATAAACCTGTAGCCAAACAATCAAGAAAAAGAGAAGATACAAATATCAATCTCGAGAATGAGAGAGGTGTTGTCACTGTGATTCTATACATATTAAAAGGCTAATTAAGAATAATTAGGGGATATTATAAATAACTTTATGTCCATAAATACGATAACTTAGATAAAATGAACAAAATACCAAAGCTTACTCAAGAAGATATCGATAACTTGAATAGTCCTATATCTATTAAAAAATTAAATTCTAATTTAAAAACCTTTAATTCATAAAAGCCTTTTAAGAATGTATTTCTAGCTTGATAATTAATTTTTAATACTTTCTTCTGCATAAGAATTTTAATGTTTATCATGAGTCATTGAAATAAATTTGTTCCTTTTAATGATTAAAGTATATAAATAGGCTAGAAAAAAGTTAAGATTTTAGTTTCTAGCAGTAAACTAAACATCTTAATCATGGTAAAGCCTCATTATATTCAAATGTTCATTCCACAAGAGTAAAAACAAAGGTCAATTTACTACAAATTTAAGAAAAAAAGAGACCTGTGTACAATATAAAATATTTCCGGCACATTCTTATTTTATAATCTTAAACATTAACAGAATCCTGTTTTTTACTGGCTACGAAGGAAAGGGTATAAGCTCAGTATTATCAGTGGATGATATGAAATGCTGTTTTATAAATGGCATTTCTAAGATCTAAGATGTCTGAAATTCAATGGTGCTTTACATAAAGAATATATATAAAATCCTTCACTATTGAAACAACTTCATGAGGTAGGAATTCTCTTGATTCTAAAGATGAGGAAATTGAATTATCTTGATTTAAAGAAAGAAAATGAAACTTAGATGAATTCAATAACTTCACTAGGATTATACAGTTTAGTAGACAGAATTTAAACCCTGGTCTGTCTCTTAAACATACCCACTCCTCCATCCATCCATCCATCCATCCATCCATCCATCCATCCATCCACCTGATGTGGATTCAAGTGTGGGGACGACAAATACTAAACTGTTGTATTTCCCATTAACTACTTTTGCCATCTCAGAGTTAATGCACCTTTCAAATATGTCCTCCCAATAGTGGAAACTGGTTGCACGAAGGGGAAGACAGTAACAAAATATTAATCAATCATTTAGAAACTTCTGTTGCCTTCGACATTGTTATTTCAAAAAGAGAAGAGAACCAATAATATGGAAGTCCAGAGATACCCTATATATTCACTGATAACTAATATTGAGGTAAATGAACAAATCTTCAAATTTTGGAATGAAAAAAATCACAGTCATTGCTAGGTAATTTATCTGTTTCCTTTAACAAGACAGCAAACTTTAATTTATATAGCTTTCATAAGTTGTTCTCTGATAAATTTAGCCTAAACTGACTTAAATTTATTATTATCACAGTTCTTGGGTAATATTTGTATTCACAAATTTTTGCCTCAGTTTTGGCCAACACCTCTCATTATAAATGGAAATAAGTTCATTTTGGTGCTTCTTGTACCAGGCATAAAAATCCCAGCAAATAAAAATTTATCAGGATTTTGGGAATTCTTCCAAAAAATTTTGGCACAATGTACAGCTACACTTTACTACCAGATAATTATTGTTTCATTGGAGAAACTGTTAGTTTAATTTCTCTGAGGAATTACTGTATCTTTAAAAGTGCTTTACAATGATATAAGAGAACCTTCCGATGTCAAACAATCTATTCTTCAATTAGGAAAGAAAGGTACTCACGGTTGAGCCCCAATTTCTCGTAGATGATAAAAGAGCTGGGGGAGGTAAGTTTGAAGAAGAGTTTCAAACAGCAGACAGAGGGACACAATACCCTGGATATAATAACAAAACACAAAAGAAAAATATATTTTAGTATTTAAAAATGAACTCTGCCAATAAATTATTCAAATGGAAATGAGGAAAAGATTATTAACATAAATATTTGTATATTGTCTAAGAGTCAAAAACAGGAAATGTACTAATGATCTCTAATACTGTGTTTAAAGATAAATTTTTCCCTATTTATGGATACTTACTATTTACAGACATGCCAAGGAGCCTCCTTTTTAACACAATACGTTCCCTATATAATCTGGTGTATAATGCTCAGAGTCCAAGGAAAAACATCATTTTATAGAAAACATGCTACTTTGTAAGCCCGGTATTATCACTTAGGTCCAGCAAACTAGTTTTTTCTGGATCCATTCCAGTTTCCAGGTATTTCTCTGGTACTATAGTCACACCCTTTACTTTATGCCTCCGTGTGTCCTTTCCCTTCTAGCTGCCTCACCCATCAAGGCAAGTATTTCCTGCTGTTTTCACTTTCTTTGAAATCCATCCCCAGGGGAAAAGGGACTACTGACTGCTTGAAATTTGCATCAGGAAGTTATCGAACAAGAATGTTTGGTTACTTAGTATAAAGACATATACACATTATGCCTGAACTATACATCTGTGTATGTATCTGAAATCTACCCTTTATAAGGGCATTATTTGTAGAGGACAAGAAGTAACCGATTTAAGCAGATGGCTTTTCAAGTGTGTTTATTACTTGACAACTCTGAATAAAGTCTTTCTTGTAGCTCAGCATTCCGCAGGGTTGATCTTTGTAAGGAAGTTTTGATCCTCTTTGTGAGTTTCTAGAGAAAAAAGGCTGTCGTGGTTCCAAATAGTTGAGTCTGGCTGCAAGCCAGAAAAGGAGATGACTGCCACTGAATAAAGAAAGGGCAGAGGCAGGCCTGGCCCAACCAATTCACTGAAAAAGGACACCTCAGGGTCAGCACGGAGACAGAGAAAGAATATCCAGGGTTTGCTGGGCGTCAAGCTTCAGTGCTCTGCACAGGGACAGACACTGTGGGTGTGTAACGGGCAGCCACTTAAAAAAAAGTTTTTTTTTTTAAACTCTGAAGCATAAAATGGTACAGAATATGAGAGTAAGAAATCTGAGGCTAAAAATGAGGTTATTAGAAAATAGAATTGTTAGCATATTTCGGATTAGACTAAAAATTAATGTGAGATAAGCACTAAAGTTGTCTCGGAGAGAAGAAACCCAAGATAATTGGTGGTGCCTCCTTTGTTCATGTGAGACATCCTGGATTTCTGTTATCTGCTGGCTCTCACGAGCAATGTATGGGAGCAAAGGTGGAGACACAGGAAAGTGGAACAGGAATACACAGGGTTAAACTGGGGGGGGGGATAAAGAACAGCAATTCAGTTTAACAGCAGGGACAGAGTCTTCTCTTTAGGGAAATCTGGTAGCCCTGATACGTTCTAATTTACTGTTTCTTCTGGAGAGTCAGTCAGATTACCCACAAGTAAACCAGAGCAGGCCCAAAGGTGAAAAAAAATATAAAATAAATACTGCTTTTACTCAAGCTCATGGGTGGAAAAAAAGATATGATAAAGGACTGGCCAAATAAAACAGATAAAAATGTTCAACTCCCGATATGCTCCTCTTTGACTTTGAGGTCAACGGAGCTATCTACTGAATAAACACAAAGAAAATATCAGTATGGTAACTGATAACTAGTCAAATGTGAAATTGAAAAATAAGTGACAGATAAATGTTTGATTTTCATTAACAAAGAAGAGATGATGATGATGATGATAATCACAGCAACAACAACAGTAAAAACAGCACTCATTTATCTACAGGACACTTGCCATGAGCCGAGGACTACCCAAGTGCTGTTCTCCTGAGCACTACAGAAATATATCAAGCTCATCTCCTAGATGGGGACACCAGCGTGCAAAGAAGGCATACTTGCCCAAGTGAATAATACAGACATTTTTATATGTTTTTTTTTCTGTTAACATATAAAAGATAATGTAAGTGCAATTGATAAAGGCTTTTTTCCTCCTTCATTATCACCAAAAGTATTTAAACATCAATTTTTTTCTTTTCATTTATTCTACAGAAATATGTTGCTTAAAACCACAAATTACAATGTGTTGCTTCACAATGTAACCGAGTAGGAGACTTTTCCTTAAGGAAAGAAAACAGATTAGAGTCTAATTTGATCCAATGTTTATGAACTTACAGAAGGGTGAGAAGAGATGGAATGTAGTCTGAAGAAAAAACGCACATACATCTCACGGAATATCTGATACAGTTTGGAAGGTTCATGGTACAGAAAACAAAGCGGTGCAACTGAAAGAATAAAGAAAGTAATCAATAGCATGGTAGAACTATTAAAGTTTTAGAAAATAAGTCAACAAAACATGAAAGAATAAATCTATATTATGGTAATATTCATTCAACAACAAGTCTAAAATCATATGTAGTTTTATCGTGTTGGAAAGGAAACATATACACATGTAAAAAGTTCAGTCATTAAAAGCTATAAAGAAAGGAGTAGTTAAAAACTACTGTAATCCCAACTGACCACAAGAATGGCACAATGGAATTACACTTCTGGGGATATGAAAAATTCAAAGTAGCTTGAAAAAACTATGGAAAGTCAAGTGTCTCTTCTTTTTAATAGAAATAGTAAAGAGTGACAATCAGGCAATTCATTTTTCACTTGTTCCACAAAGGATCCAGGCCGCTTTGCAAAGTTTTTTATTTTGGAAGTCAGGTAAGCAAAATAGAAGATAATTCGTGACTAGTGTGTAGAATCATGGTCTTCAACTAGTTCAGTTTGAAAATAAAGGTTTTGATGAACAGTTTAGACTATCGGTCCATATCTCAGCATCGTGTAAAGACAGTTTTCACAGATTCACAATAAACCAACCCTCGGGCAGAGGATTCATTTCTCTAATGAATGTTGAATTACGTCTTCCTTTGCACCCAACTCTTGGCAATTAAACATGGGTGGGTCAACTCAATCAGAGACCCCACAACTGAATGTCAGGAAGTCCTAATCTCAGATGCTGATAAGACAGGATTATTCTGGACTGATATGGTTGTGCTTTTCATCTTTTCAAACCTCAAGAATTTCAGGCAGCATAAGCACACTTATAATGCAGACACATAAAACTGTATTACCTAAATATTAATTTTAACACAAGATGACTTACTTTTTGGGTAATTTCAGCTATGATGCAAAATGGACAGGTTAGAAATTCTCAGGCTCCATAATCTGTCAGTAATGCCCTGAGAGCAGGAGGCATTAAGTCATCAGGGAAACCAATGAGGCAACTCACCTCTTTTTCACAAAGTGAAAGGAAAAATGATAAAAAAATTTTAAATTCTTACAAATACAAACATTCAATGATCTGGGCTACATGGCAGTGCACAGTATTACAGACGAGTGAATCAGCGAAAACTAGTGTTGCAAGGGAGAGACTGCACTTTTTTCTGAAGGGTCAATTTTAGGGGAGTCTAAAAAAACCCCTCCTTTATATACAGAGAGAAAAAAATTATGTTATATACATACAGATGTTTAAAAGCTGACAGCTGTGACTTTCCATTTAAAAACTAGCTTTAAAAATTTATTTTACCACCAAAATAAATTGCTATTTATTAAGGTAGTCTCTATATTTAAAAAGGTATTCTATATATTTAAAAAGACTAACTCATATTCCAATTATAACAATGTAAGATAAAGCAATGTGGCACAAATACATGGTATTATTATAAGTTCAAAGTGAAGGTTTGAAATTTATTTACCTTTTTATGCATATTTTTTCCTTTAACTTTTAAAGATACTGATATGTAAAAACCTATAATCTGAATTTTAAGATTTTATGGGTTCAGCAACCTGAACGGTCATTTCCAGTGAAGGAATAAAAGAATTTTTCAATGAGCACTTTTTTACAAACATGTATAATACAAAAACCTTTGCAATCAGTTATTATTAAAGATACCACTACTGTTTGTGTTGAATTCCTTATGAAATTCTCCATGAAATGGAAAAGCTTTAGTCCATTATGTACAATATACAAAAAAAATCTACGTGAGTTTATTTTCTATCGAAAGCGCATCTCCCTATACGGTTCCTTCGTAAAAATGACTTTGCGCATTGTCTTTTTATCCAATTAAATATTGTGCCATAGGAATTTACTTATGAAGTCATGATATGCTATACCTACAATAACTTCATTCATCTGCATAACTGGGAGAGAGGAAGGCCAGTTTAAATCCATTTTTAAATGAGATAAGTATTGTAATTTTGAAGCACTACAGTAACTAACACCGAGGTGGCAAAGTACTAACTACAGTTCCTCCGGGATGGTATGTGATTATTCTCGTATTCTAAATGGGTGGTTGCTGCCAGGTGTTTGTGGGTGCTTACCACATATTTCCAAAAGAGTGTTAATAAACTCTGTACCAAACATTTTGCATCATCTACATCCTTAGTGAACATTCTCCCCTCTGGTGTATAAACCTTAGCCAATACTTAAGTGACCAGAAGTGTGAACAAGCAGACTCAGAGTCAATGATGTATGTTATTCCCTAAGAGTTGCTAGAAGATTTAAACTTTCCTGACACCATTAATGTCCTCCAAATCATTCAAGTTCACTTTTTAAAAGCTGTTTACTTGAAAAATTCTTGCAGCTGGAATTGAAATAGATAAAAAGACAGCACTTTTATTATTAGATGTAAACATTTAGTAACTTTTTGGGGGCTTTTCTATTTTAAATTCCTCATGTGTTTATAAAAGAGAAGTATGCTGAAACATCGTAACATTATGTATTACATTATGGAACATTGGTTGCTCAAGAGAATAAGGCAGAGTGCCCCATAATGGAAGCTTGTGATCAACACCACGAAGGGTAGCATAGTACAAAGTTCCTGGGTCCTCTGAATCCTTTTCACTGCATGCTGGTCTTAGAAGTTTTATATTACGTCATTCACCATTATTGTCTGATGTTGAACACTGAGGGGCTTTTACCAAGAAAAGGGTTAATGTGTTGCTGATTCTCCTTACAAAAGGAAAACGTTAAAGTATTTCTGTTTAGCGTACAGGTGGGGGGGGGTGGGTAGCGACTTTGGCGACGACGCTCTTCAACAGGTTTCTATGTAATGTGTGAAAATTTAAAAATTAAGTGGTTTTAAAGTGTAGAGCACTCTTGCTAATCTTCATTAAGCTTCATTAAGCTTCTGTGTTCCTCGTTTGATGCTGCGGGAGGCCAGAAAGGCATTCGGGGCTGTTAAGCCTGCACACGTGTTTTTCACATGTACCTTGGGACTAGTCTAGAGAAATCATAAACCCAGACTTAGTGTTGGCCCTCCCTTCACATCCTTTCTCACCTATTATTTGTTTAAAATTTGTTCGGGAATTTCAGCAACCTCATTTTACACCTGTCAGAACTAAAAACCCACGTGTTTCCATTGGATTAGAGAATGGTAAACACAAAATCACTTCCACATTGTCTTCTAACTTTAATTGGCCAAGAGTCATCATCTGAGAAAGTATGATGACCCTTTATTTTAAAAAAGTTTAATTGGAGGTATAAACAAATACTAAACTCAATATTTAAAAATGTGTAGTTACTTGGTAAGCGTGTGGGTGACGTGGTATAAACTGTGATCTTCATCTTTAATTTTCTGAAGTGTAATAAAAACAGTGAATATTTTAAAGCCCAACTTACCATACATTGAAAATCCGTGAAAAGGGATTACACCTAAAAAAGATTAAAAAAAAGTGTTTCTTTTCAATTAATATACCCACTGAGTTATTAGGTAAGCTTCAGAGGATTAAAAACGAAAATAGAAAGGTTTGCTATTTTTGCTTCAACTCTGTTCATGACTGTCAGAAAGACTTAGTGATGGTAGCCAATAAAAAAAAATATATGCTTTTTAATACCTGGAGAAAAACAAACTAGAAGTTTTTGATATATATCCAGTTAACGTTCTATTGATAATGCTAAAAAACTAAAACTTTGAATATGTTACAAAAACAGAACAGGGCAGATGGCAAAACTAAATTTAAGAACAAATTAGGATGGTCTCAGAAAGTCAGCAGATTATGTCCTTCCTGAAACAAATTCATCCTGTATATTAGAATCCAATCTGTTAAAAAGATAAGTGACCAGCTTACATAAACCAGATGGGTCACCTCAGGAAAGTCACTGAACTTCCTGAGTTTTAGTTAACTGCCTGTCATGCAGAGGAACTAACACTGTCTCTGAAATATCATCTAGCTCTAAAATTCTACGTTTAACAATCATGTCTAGAGTAAATGCAGAGAAATTTGTGAGATCCAAAGAAAACCGGACATGTAAGGATCTTCCAGTGGCAAGATTCTTAACCAACTTTAAGGTCTTTTGCTTTCTAGAAACTGGAAAATTCAAAACCAGATTAGAGTTATAAGAGTAGTCAACATTCCTAATGACATGATAGCCACCAGCTTGAGTTGCACGGAGCACTTAGATGAAGGACCACCTTCCTTCTTCAAGTCTCTCTCTCTCTGTTTATATCTCTGGTTGAGTCTCTTTTTCTTCTTAGGAACAACCATCTTTTTCTACCTTCTCTCTCTGCTGTTTAATTTTATTTCTTTCCTGATTATAGGCTTTTAGAAAATAAAAAAAACAAGTCTGTCTTTTCTAACTTTTCTACGATAAAATTGTTGACATATGAAAAAAAAAAATCCGAGAGACAAATGAGTTAATAGACAGTAGGCATATTTTGATGTTCTACAGAAATGTAAGTATATATTGTATCTTTCTAAATACTGCCTCTCAAAGAAGGTTGCTATCATATAAAACCTTTATATTCTTTAAAAAATTTTTTAATGTTTATTTATTCTTGAGAGAGAGACAGACAGAGACAGAGTGTGAGTGGGGGAGGGTCAGCGAGAGAGGGAGACATAGAATCTGAAGCAGGCTCCAGGCTCCAAGCTGTCAGCACAGAGCCTGGTGCGGGCTCGAACTCACAAACTGTGAGATCATGACCTGAGCCAAAGTCGGACGCTTAATTAACCAACTGAGCCACCCAGGCGCCCCCAAAACCCTTATATTCTTCCTGCAAAACCCCTTTTTCTTTCCTCTGTTAAGCTATTGCAACAACATTTGAACAAGCAGGTGAGGGTAGTCAGGAGTGAAGGTGTTACTATTATGATTTTCATCTTCTACAAATATTTATTAAGGATCCAAGGATAGGACTATCCTAGTCAGGACAAGCCACTTTTAATTAGGAAGCTTACAGTGAATGACTTCGTGAACCGTCAAGCAGCAAAAAGGGATGCAATATTAGGGTGACTTGGGCTTAGTTACACTTTCCCCACATCTCCCTCAAGTTCTGAAATTTATAGCTGCTCTAGAAGCAGCTAGGTCATAAGCTATTTGAGGCAAGGGACACAATTCCTACTGTGTAATATCTTCAGCGCCCGCAGTATCTTCTACAAATGATACAAATTGATGGAAATTGGAGCATTTTATAGATATGATCAAAGCTTATAAATAAAATATTAAAGCGCAGCAGAGAAGAAACTAATGGTTGCTAGGGGGAGAAAGTTGGGGGGTGGGCAAAATGGGTGAAGGGGAATGGGAGATACAAGCTTCCAGTTATGGAATGAATAAGTCACAGGGATAAAAGAGGGAATATAGTCATTGCTATTGCAATAGTGCTCTACGGTGACAGAGGTAGCTCTACTTGTGGTGAGCACAGAATAGTATAGGTTTGTCCAATCACCATGTTGGTTAGCTGAAACTAATGTGACATTGTGTGTCAACAATACTCCAACAAAAAATATTTTTCTAAGTTTATTTATTTATTTTGAGAGAGAAAGTGAGTGTGTTTGCGTGGCAGGGGAGGGACAGAGGGAGAGGGAGAGAGAGAATCCCAAGCAGGCTTCATGCCCAGCACAGAGCCCCATGCCAGGCTCGATCTCACAACCTTGAGATCGTGACCTGAGCTGATATCAAGCCACCCAGGCGCCCCTAAAAATTCTTTTCAAGTAAAAAAAAAATATTGAAGTGTAATTTTAATTTATGAATAAGTAATTAACACATAGAATAGGAAGCTCTTAATAACTCAGTATTGAAATTACGAATGTCCAACGAACTCATACAGATGTGGTTGGAATTCTGTGTGACGAGGCAAGTTACCAACACTCTCTTGAGTCTCTGTTTTCATTTTTGAAAATGGAGATGAACAAGACAACTTCACTGAGTTGTACTAAAGCACCGGTGAGTTAATGTCCTCAATGTGCACCAGTGCAGAGTTGAGGGCACAGCAGATGGTCGGCAATCAGAGCTATTTTACGATCTCACAAGAGGCAGTAACACAGTTAGGTATCGGCTTAAACCTAAGAACTTCTTTTTTTGTCAGTATTAGATAAGGGTTCACTTCAGCTTAATCAAGATTAGCCAGGGCTTAAGATTCCAGAAAAGGGTGCACTGTCTGCTCTGTTAAAGGAGGACAAAGTCAAATTCTGGCAAACAAAAGTAGAAGGCATAAGAAGCAGTGAAGAATCCACTAACGCTCTAGGGCACACTTCACCTAGAACAGTTCTTTGATCGCAGAGGGTGTCGCGTTCTTGGCCAGTTTCCCCAAATCCTTCCCTTTGCCTCCTATCGCTTCAAGTGTTTCAAGGGTCGAGTTTCATGCACGTGGCCACCATCCCAGAGTATACTTCTAACAGGCAGCGGGATGCTTGGGCTACCAGCTCTCCTCTGGCCTTAGAGTCCTCCAAGTTTGCCACAACAGATTATTTTAAGAGCCCAGCCATCCTTTGGCCATCTAAAGAAAGTCTAAAATATTAACTGCCTGTTCCATTGAATAGGAATAACTTTTTGAAGTCATAATTTAATGGGCCTTTGACATAGCTCAGAATGGTAAACGTCGGCCACAGAAATAAATCTTGAACTAGATTAAGATATAAATAGTAAATATGACTCAGAAAATACACCAAATATCAACATGCTTCACACTTACTAGATATTTTCCCTTCATTTCCTCACTGTCTCTGTTAATACTCAGCATTTATAGTTGTACCACAGCTTTGAGGTCTGACTGACTTTAACATCATTCCAAATTTTTACACTCCTTCATGTGGGATTACTTGGTAAAGTTTAACTCATTTGTTGAAATAATCATTTCCTTTGCTTATTCTCATTCTACATGTAGCCTACAGGTCAGTAAGAGTAGGGATACGACAATGGTTAAACTGTTTCCTAGCTATTTCAGTTGTCTTTCTGCATCAGAACTTCAGAATATCACTGTTACTTTATTTCAGCAATTAAAATTTCCCAAATACCAGAACATAGCCATATTTAAGTATCAATCTGAAAACTGTATTTTAAATACAAATTTGATTAGGTTTTCAACTTATGTCTAAAGTTATACATCAAATAAATTTTGGATTATGAGATGTTTTTACTTTATTTAATTAATATAGATGACAAAGTACATTGCTATTTATCAACTGGACACTTGTGAGCAGGCTTAAAATGACATATTTTCACTATTGCTTCCAAGAGCCTTTCCTAATCTTGGTCGTGAGGGGCTGTCCTGTGCACTGTAGAATGTTGTCGTCGGTTTTTTTTTTCAATTTTTTTAACGTTTATTTATTATTGAGAGACAGAGAGAGACAGAGCATGAGCAGGAGAGGGGCAGAGAAAGGGGAGACACAGAATCTGAAGCGGGCTGCAGGCTCCAGGCTCTAGGCTGTCAGCAGAGCCGGATGCGGGGCTCAAACCCACAAACCGCGAGATCATGACCTGAGTTGAAGCCGGACGCTTAAGTCCAACTGAGCCACCCAGGTGCCCCATGTGCACTGGAGAGTGTTTAATGGCATCCCTGGCCTCTACTCATGAGACACTGGTAAAACCCCGCCTCCCCCTGGCTCTGACAACCAAAAGTGTCTACAGACATTGACAATGTTTCCTGGGGATGGGGAGGGGGGTGGGGGGGAGGGGTATGGGGTTGTCCTGATGTAGAGTCCTAAAATGCCTCTACCTAATGTTCACTAGCAACTAGTTATTTTGTCTTATAGGAAACAAATGGTATTGGTATATTGTGCTGTGTATTTAAATCTCAGTCAGATCTATGTGTACTTCTCCTGTCTCCTTCCCTTGCTTCTATTCTTGTTCCTCTATGTTCTTCCATATTGATTCCCTCATTCATTCGCTCTCTCATTCAATAACATTTACTGAGCAGTGACTTTACGCTATGCATGATTCTAGGTGTTAGATCTCTTGGTCATCAAAAGGTCCTTGTTCTCTCGGAGCTTATATTAGAATGACACTTTACTTATTATTATTATTATTATTTTTTTTTTTTTTTTTTAAGTAGGCTCCATGCTCAGCATGGAGACCAATGTGGGGCTTGGACTCATGACCCGGAGATCAAGACCTGAGCTGAGATCAAGAGTCGGATGCTTCAGCCACCCAGGCACCCCATAGAGTGACACTTTTATTTTACACAGTAGTGAGCATGATCTTTTAAAAATATTAGTCAGGAATCAGAGAAGAGATGTCACTGAGAAGAATAGAGTAGGGAACTCCAAAATTCTGCCCTTCCGCTAAAGCAATGGTTAAGCTGGCTAGAACTGTTAGATCAACTTTTTTTGAGTTCTGTAATTTGTTTAAAAAAAAAAAAACATAAAATAAAACAAAACAAAAAAATAAAAAAATTACAACCAAGGAAATCCTTCATGAAAAAAGAAGCTGCTGAATTTTGG